AGCAGCAGCAGCAGCAGCAGCAACAGGACAGTGACGATGATGGCATTTCGCCATGAAAGGAAGTTGGGTAGTTAAGGGAATGATGGTGGAAATCGACAAGATAACTAGGCTTGAAAATTGGATTTTTGTTGTTTAATCGTTTGTAAGTGTGCGTGATCATAGTAGATCTATGCACAGTGTATTTAATTTTGATAATGGTAATGAAGAATTTTTTTTATAACGCCCCCTACCGTACGGCACAGCGTTTGTCATTTTGCAATACATGTACCATCTTCTTAACACAAAAAGAACAAGAGAATACGCTCTTGAGATTAATGCCAACATAATAATAGATCAATATATAACCAGACATTCACACTGTCAGAGCTTAATCAATTATGATAATAATATAATGCACACCACATTATAAATATAGAATCTATGAAAGTTCCATGAATTAAAAAAATTTATTAAGATGTCATTTCACGGAGTACGTTTGAAAAAAATGACCTTTGAATTTTGCCTCCAACTGTGTATCAGTAAAATTCACATGAAAATGTATTTTTATATAAACATAAAAGAGGCTGAGCCCAAAAATAAAAATTCGATAAAAATATCAAAACTTTCGGAAAAATGCTGTTTCTCCGATTTCTGTATTTCGACGAGTGCCTGTTTTCACCACGCTGCCTCACACCTTATGACAATGCCACAGACACTAATCTTTGTGGTGCTCTCACAAATGTTGTGTCAACGTTTATTCTTGTTTTACTACATTCCTGTGTGCAGAAAAATGCACAGTATATAGGCTTTTTTCGCGCCCTCTTTTTTTTCGCTTTACCGATTCCGTTTTTCGCGATTGCTTTGAATTTGCGATTTGAGCTGCCCAGTGTAATGTGTCTAACGAACATTTCACTAGCGCACACAGGGGTAATAATACACGTAGATCTATACCGGAGTAGTTCTCTGTGAATTTTTGTGAAAGAGATGAATATTCAGGTATTGGTCAATTCCACAGATTGTTTTGCCTCGTTCGTGAGAATTGACGAGAGGTTGAGAAACAGGTTGTGTGTGTGTGTGTGTGTGTGTGTGTGTGTGTGTGTGTGTGTGTGTGTGT